AAGTGATTCTGTTGTGAACAAATATAGAACACAAATAAGAATTTCGAAAACTAAGCAACGGGAACACGAAGTTTTGTATAGAAAGTATAATATAGTTTACGTAAGTGAGGGTGATTTGCGTAATGAACATTATTTGAACGATTTATTTAGAAGAACGTTAAAAAGAGGAAGAGTCGGCATATATTCCGAACTTCCAGATAATATGTATTGTATAGTCCAGAGAAGGTTGGAATCGTTGTTTGGTAATGATCGGAATTTGAAATTTATTAAATGTACGAAATTGGCTGTTGACATGCCTAACGAAGAGGAAATGTATGGGATAATTGAGAATACTCATAATAGCGGGAACCATAGAGGTGTTTTGGAGAATTTTGGGGAACTAAAAGACTCCTATTTTTATCCAAATTTAATAAAATATATAAATAAATTTATAAATTCTTGCAGAATATGCAATGAAAATAAGTACGATAGAAATCCTTATCGTAAACATTTTAATCATACTATAACACCTGAAAGACCAAACATGATTGTTCATATGGATATTTTTCAGATTCATAGAACATATTTCCTGACCACAATAGACAGATTTACTAAATTGGGGTCTGTGCATAAAATTACGGATAAAAATATGTGTACGGTCAAGGTAAAGATTCAGGAAAGGATTGCCTTACTTGGCAAACCGGAGTTGTTGATAATGGACAATGAGTTCAATAACGCTTTGATAAGACTGTTTTGTGCGGAAAGGAATATTCAAACGCATTTCACAACAGCATATTCTCATACGGGTAATTCCGACATAGAGAGAATGCATTTGTCTCTCTTGGAACACATTCGAATTCTAAAACGAAGTAACGAAAATGTAGATGTGGAGGAGCTAGTTATTAAGGCGATAGGCTTTTACAATGGCACAATTCACTCCACGACAAATATGAAACCAATTGACCTTTTGAACCGTTCCGATATAGATCATCGGAAAATTGCTCAATATATGGGTGATAGGAAGAGGAAGGCTATTAATAGGGTTAATTCGAAAAGGGGGAAAGTTCCCAACTATGATAATCGGGAGTTGTATATGAAAAACCCCGGAGCCCAAAGACAAAAAACGGCTAAAAGATTTTTAAAATACAATGCTAATAATCCTAATAAGATGGATTTGGCAAATATTAAAAGACCATTGAAAACTTTTTCAGGGAACGGCAATGTTGACCATCCTGGTACTACTGCTGTTTTGGTTGGCCCCATGCACTGAGTCTGCGGTCCGGATTGGAGGTATCGAGACCCAGGCGGGTTATGCGGTGTTACAGGGTGAGCCTCTCAACATAATTGAAAGTTTCTCAGATTTAATCCACGTGATCGATGTAAGCGACATTAGGGATACAATTCAAAAATTAAGATTGGGTATTTCTCATAACTTTGGGATGGATGATGGTTGGCTTTCTATAAGCCTTAATAGGAAAATTAACGAGCTAGAACACTCGTTGCAAACACTTAAAATTCACACAAATTCAAGAAAAAAAAGGGCATTAATAAATGCAGGAGGTAGACTGATAAATTGGCTGTTTGGTAATATGGACGATGAGGACAGATTGAGAATAGAGAATCATCTCGAAGATATAGATTTGAATCAGAAGAGTATTATTAATAATTTAAATAAACAAGTAAAAATAAATAATGAGATGCAAAAATACTTGCAGAATATTCGATTGGTCGTGGAACAGAATAGGAAATGGTTTAATAGAACATACACAGGTGTGGTCGATGAAAGTTTAAAAGTAACAAAGTATAATAATTTCATATTGTTGATTAATGAGGTAAAGGATAAAATAGAACAGGTACAGGAGAATATAGTGATGTCCAAGTATGGAATTGTAAGCAGATTTTTTTTTGACGAACGAAGAGGTGGATCACTTTGATATCGATAGTTTAAAGTTGAGATATATGAAGGGTAGTATGGGCTCGATAGATGACAATTGGATAGTTTTTGTTCTGTTAATACCGAATTTTATTGACAAAGAATATAGAACGGAAATTGTGGTGCCAGTACCAAACCAAAATTTTATGCAGTTAAATGTTGAAATAACAAGAACTGTAACTATAAAAAACATAACATTTATTGTGGAGAAGGAAAATGTTTTGTCTAAAATGAAGATTGTAAATTCATGTATATCTAATATTTTGAGGAATAATTATAAGGATTGTAATAAGGTTAAGAGGAAGGAAAAGTGCATAGAAGAAATTGAGATTGGAAATTTATTGTTGATTAATGTGGAGAGCATTTTGTATGATTCGTGTACTAATTTTTCGTATCCCTTAAAGGGAAATTATTTTGTTAACTTTGAAAATTGTGAAATTAAAATTGATGAATTTAAAATTAAGAGATTTGAAAGTCGATTAAATGTAATTATACCAAATTTTAATGTTTTGCCTGTTAATATGACAGAATTATTGCCCGAATTAAATTTTACAAATATAAATGAAATTAAAGAAACTATAAAAAAACAACAAAGTAACCATAACTTTTATGTACTTTATACATTAATTTTTGTATTTATATTATGCTACATATTGATTAGAATTAAGAAATATATTGGGATTCGAAGGGACTCGAATCTTAACGAAGGGGGAGTTATATGTGCGGGTCCTCCGGACAACCCGATATCCGGTTTTCCCATGTCAATTCCGGTATGAATTGACAAGGCATAGTGGGAAGCATTAAGTGCTGCCCTACTGTTTTGTTTTATTTTGCTTTAGTTTTAGTTTGTAACCAAATATTTTATCAAAGACCACCAAGATGGTTAATGTAAACAAAACGTTTGCATACTGTTGATTTGGATTGATCAACAGTGTGCAAACAATATACTCACCAAAGATGCCTTTGTTTGAAATTGCACAATCGGCATCTTTATAGAAAATAAGATTTGTCACCAAAGATGCCTTTGTTTGAAAATGCACAATCGGCATCTTTATAGAAAATAAGAATGTATTGGTACAGCCAATACATTATTTTTAAGCTAAACTTAAGAATTGAAATTAATAAAGATCAGAGTAAAATTACACCAAGAAGAACACAGTTCGTTTTTTCTACACGCTCTCAGAGTTTTAAAACTAAAACTAAAACTTACATATATTATGTTCATAGTTTTAAGATTTCCACTGTTCAGCAGTTGTGCACAATTTCATCATGCTTTGCTGGTACAAAAACATAAGTAGTTGTAAAAATAAAAAAAACAATAAAATTTCATTCTGCCTAACATACAACACATGTCAACCACACACAGTGATGCCAGGAGATTTTTTTCAGAAATCCCTACGCTTATGAGAAAAAAATCCCAAGTTTATCTTAAAAAAAATACAAAAATAACATAAACAAGTAAGAGTGTTATATTCGGCTATGCCGAATCTTATATACCCACCGTCACACCTCGTTTGACTCGAATGAAACTTACTTATGTCTTGTATTTCATCTATATACTCGTATATTTAGGCCAGTTATAAGCGTTAAAGTAATTTTCTGAAGGGGACCTTATATAGGGGGTAGGGTCAATTATGGGTCGATCCTCATAAAATTTGGTAGACAGAATTTGGTTCGTATTAAATTTATTTGTGTCGAATTTCATCGCTACACTCGTATTTTTAAACCATTAATGAGCGTTGCAGTCATTTTCTGAAGGGGACCTTATATGGGGGGTAGGGTCAATCATGGACCAATCCTCATAAATTTTTTTAGATAGATTTTGACTCGTATGAAACTTACTTATGTTGAATTTCATCTATATACTAGTATTTTTAAGCCAGTAATGAGCGTTAAAGTCATTTTCTGAAGGGGACCTTATATGGGGGGTAGGGTCAATTATGGACCGATCCTCATAAAATTTTGCATAGTGATTTTGGATCATAAGGAACTTACTTATGTCGAATTTCATCGCTATATTTGTATTTTTAAACAAGATATGGCTGTTAAAGCTGCTTTTCGAGGGGTCACTTGTATGGGGGCTATCCGAAAACGTGGACCGATATTGCCCATTTTCAATACCAAACAAACCTTTCCTATAAAAAATATTTATATTATTTCAACCCTCTAGCTCTTTCCATTCGAACTCTATCGTGCTTTCAACAGACAGACAGACGGACGGACGGACAGATGGACAGACATGGCTAGATCGTCTTAAAATTTAATGAGGACCCAGAATATATATACTTTTGTGGGTCTATGACCAATATTTCGATATTTTCGTTACAAACGGAATGACAAAATCAATATACGTTTACTTTTCGCGGTTTACTTTTATAAATTTTCAGAACATTAAATTATTTTTTTCAATCCTGAGTTACTGCATTAAGCCCCCGACTACTCTATCTATAAGGAGTCAGAATATATCGCTCTGCAGGATTGGCATAATCCAAAAAAGTCGTTTCAAGAAAACTGTATATGAATATTTAATGACATTTAACTATTTTCTTTGATAACGTTTAAACAAATCAAGGGATTTTAAAAATCCAAACTCAGATAGTTGAGGTTAATATGTTTCTCATCTAAATTGAAATTCAAATTTTAGTTGTGGGTTTTAGTTTTTACGTTTACAAAAAATCCATTTCACATCGAAAATAATAGACATATTAGAAATTTGACAAAACTATATGAAAGATTTTAGTATGTCGCATGTTTTGTAGACCTCAGTTCAAGAAACCCGAATTTTGGATTATGCCAGGCTTGTAGCGATATGTAGGTACACATATTGTAGAAATTACAAGCGGAATTTTTACTAACGATACACTTAAAATTGATTTAATTTTTAATTTTAAAGCTTAATACATGAAAGAGTATATTTTTACTTGATAAAAACTATGAAATTGAAAAAATCCTTACAACTTGACAATAGTAAGAAATCTTTCCTTTTTTCCCAACACGTAAAATTTTTGATAAAAATCCTTACAAATAGGGAAAAATCCCTACACGTGGCATCACTGACCACACATGACACATTAAGACAATAAATTTTTTGAAAGCAAGTTCGTGTGCGTCATCACGACATAGCAGATGCAGATCATCAAATTTTGGTATAAAGCATTTTTGAAAAAAGGCCTTTAATTCAAAATTTAGTCTAGTCTATAGTCTAGTCTATAGCCTAGTCTATAGTCTAGTCTATAGTCTAGTCTATAGTCTAGTATATAGTCTAGTCTATAGTCTAATATATAGTCTAGACTATAATAGATCACTACACATTTTCAGTCCAAATCGTTGGATTTCACTACATAATATGTTTATTTCATTAGAAAATAATTGGAATGAAATCTCCGAATTTCTCGAAAAAGAAAATGAACAACAACGCATTGAGGAGATCAATCTAAACTATATAAAAGCTATTAGCAAAACTCTGCAGCCTTTTGATGAGGCCATCGAGACAATGGAAGAGGATAACAGTGCTTTACATTTGGTAATGGTGTATTTGCATGAATTGAAAAAATCATGCGATACAAATGACAATGAGTTTAAAGATTTCGATTTTATAGAGAAACTCAAGCAAAAGCTGCGTTATTACTTGGATCAATCAGTTAAAGATCAGCTAACAGATCTGCATAAAATAGCTTTATTCCTTTATCCACCTACAAATAAACTACTACAGTTTAGTACTGAAGAAAAGAAATATATAGAAAACGAATGTATACGCCTAATGAAAACGTTTAAAAGCGACCAGCTACCGACTATTAAACAAGAACCGGAAACTACTTATTCGCCTGCCCGTAAACGTAAAAAATTCTTTTCTGATTTTGTGGAACCAGAAACATCGCGTGATCCTCATGAACTCATAATACAAGAGTTACAATTTTATAAATATATGCGTGTGGCAAACAGTCCGGAATTTGATGTTTTCGTTTGGTGGGAACAGCAAAAGGCTAATTTACCTCTTCTCTATAAATTAAGTTCTTCAATTTTAGCAACACCGGCCAGTAGTTGCTCGGTACAGAGAATTTTTTCAGCCGCTAGTAGTTTATTATGTGAAAATAGATATGATTTGTCTCAAAATGAAATTAAAGTTGATCAAATTATGTTTATTCACGCTAATTCCGAACAAGATGATTTCGGTAGTGAATTTGAATAAAAATAAGTTTTTTAAGTATTTATCCGTATTAACCTCTATATAGATATTGTTATAAACAAATATTTGTATTAATTTTAAGTTTGACTATAAATTATAAAAAAATTAAATTAAATAATTCGTTTAATAATAAATAAATATGAAATAAGAAATTGTTCCATTATATTATCTATGGCTGATATTGATTAAGTATAAACTATCGATATGCTTATGTACATAAAATTTTCACTTATCCATTCATGATTCGATCAGCAATGATTCATTTTATTTATATATTAACATAAATCAAATTATTTCATTATTTTATACTACGCACAGTTAACAGAACTCTGTTAAATATCTCACATTTCAATTCTTTTCGTCTACGTTTACTTATTTTATTCCGTTATTTGTGTATTTAAGAATAACAATTCAAAAGCAATAGGCAATAGGTGAAACGAGTTACGAATGTACTCTATACAAATATCATACATACATTCAGTGTCTTACGTACACACATCCGCACATTAAAAACTGATGGCACTAACACACCATTCATACCATTCAAGTGTTTTAGGTAGATGAATCGTTTGAATTCTCTACAGTTGTTATTTTTATAATTCTATATTTCGTTTTAGTCTCTCTTTCGTTGTGTGTCTCTTAGGTAGAAAATTATCAAGTCACTTTGCAGCTATACATACATATAATAGGACCCAGCAAAAACTAAAATTGAAAAGTATACATTAGGATTTTAATTGATTATTTTAACACGGTGATGATATTGCAGGCAGCATGCTCGCTTACAAATCACTACTTATATTAGTAAATACAAATAAGGAGTAAACAAGTTGTTACTTATCTTATTATAAGAGTACTTAAAAGTAATACAGATGGTAAGTAGTAGTCATTGAAATAGTAGGTGGTTATGTAAGTACAAGTCGTTACCAAGTTTTTGCTGGGTATGTACTTAATTTACTTATGAAATAATGAATATTAGTATGGTCCCCACTTTATGAATTTTCTACATTGACTATAAATTATAAAAAAATTAAATTAAATAATTCGTTTAATAATAAATAAATATGAAATAAGAAATTATTCCATTATATTATCTATGGCTGATATTGATTAAGTATAAACTGTCGATATGCTTATGTACATAAAATTTTCACTTATCCATTCATGATTCGATCAGCAATGATTCATTTTATTTATATATTAACATAAATCAAATTATTTCATTATTTTATACTACGCACAGTTAACAGAACTCTGTTAAATATCTCACATTTCAATTCTTTTCGTCTACGTTTACTTCTTTTATTCCGTTATTTGTGTATTTAAGAATAACAATTCAAAAGCAATAGGCAATAGGTGAAACGAGTTACGAATGTACTCTATACAAATATCATACATACATTCAGTGTCTTACGTACACACATCCGCACATTAAAAACTGATGGCACTAACACACCATTCATACCATTCAAGTGTTTTAGGTAGATGAATCGTTTGAATTCTCTACAGTTGTTATTTTTATAATTGTATATTTTGTTTTAGTCTCTCTTTCGTTGTGTGTCTCTTAGGTAGAAAATTATCAAGTCACTTTGCAGCTATACATACATATAATAGGAACCAGCAAAAACTTACATTGAAAAGTATTCATTAGGATTTTAATTAATTATTTTAATACGGTGATGATATTGCAGGCAACATGCTCGCTTACAAATAACTACATATATTAGTAATTACAAATAAGGAGTAAACAAGTTGTTACTTATCACATTATAAGAGTACTTAAAAGTAATACAGACGGTAAGTAGTAGTCATTGAAATAGTAAGTGGTTATGTAAGTACAAGTCATTACCAAGTTTTTGCTGGGTATGTACTTAATTTACTTATGAAATAATGAACATTAGTATGGTCCCCACTTTATGAATTTTCTACATTTATGATAAATTGACTTACTAGAACTAAAAGTTGATTGTTAGAACGATATCAACATGATTTAGTGACTCATGATTAAAACTAGAATGACTTAAAAAATACGACTTTATAAAGGGGTTTAGTAGACTAGACTATAGACTAGACTATAAACTAGACTATAAACTAGTCTTAAGATTAGACTATAGACTAGACTATAGACTAGACTATAGACTAGACTATAGACTAGACTATAGACTAGACTATAGACTAGACTAAAGACTAGACTATAGACTAGACTATAGACTAGACTATAGACTAGACTATAGACTAGACTATAGACTAGACTATAGACTAGACTATAGACTAGACTATAGACTAGACTATAGACTAGACTATAGACTAGACTATAGACTAGACTATAGACTAGACTATAGACTAGACTATAGACTAGACTATAGACTAGACTATAGACTAGACTATAGACTAGACTATAGACTAGACTATAGACTAGACTATAGACTAGACTATAGACTAGACTATAGACTAGACTATAGACTAGACTATAGACTAGACTATAGACTAGACTATAGACTAGACTATAGACTAGACTATAGACTATAGACTAGACTATAGACTAGACTATAGACTAGACTATAGACTAGACTATAGACTAGACTATAGACTAGACTATAGACTAGACTATAGACTAGACTATAGACTAGACTATAGACTAGACTATAGACTAGACTATAGACTGGACTATAAACTAGACTTTAGATTAGACTATAGACTAGACTATAGACTAGACTATAGACTAGACTATAGACTGGACTATAAACTAGACTTTAGATAAGACTATAGACTAGACTATAGACTAGACTATAGACTAGACTATAGACTAGACTATAGACTAGACTATAGACTAGACTAGACTATAGACTAGACTATAGACTAGACTAGACTATAGACTAGACTATAGACTAGACTATAGACTAGACTATAGACTAGACTATAGACTAGACTATAGACTAGACTATATACTAGACTATAGACTAGACTATAGACTAGACTATAGACTAGACTATAGACTAGACTATAGACTATAGACTAGACTATAGACTAGACTATAGACTAGACTATAGACTAGACTATAGACTAGACTATAGACTAGACTATAGACTAGACTATAGACTAGACTATAGACTAGACTATAGACTAGACTATAGACTAGACTATAGACTAGACTATAGACTAGACTATAGACTAGACTATAGACTAGACTATAGACTAGACTATAGACTAGTCTATAGACAAGACTAGACTATATCCAAACTATATACTAGACTATATCCAAACTATATAATAGACTATAGACTAGATTATAGACTAGACTAGAGGACTATACTATAGACTAGACTACTGACTATACTATAGACTAGACTAAAGACTAAACTATAGACTAGACTATAGACTAGACTATGGACTACACTATTGTCTATATCAATCTATTCTCTATCTATATATATTGTCTATAGTTTAGTCTATAGTCTAGTGCTTTATGTGCGAGCTTAACGAATTATAGGTCGATCCGATTACAAGCAATATTCGAGTAGAATATTCTGAGTTATTTACGATTGAATAATTTTCGTAAGTTTAAAGATCCATGATCCCAGGGAGCTATGACCATTTATTGATCGATTCAGAAAAAATGTAGCTAAATAATTTTTATATATAAGAAAACATATTCCTGTTAAATTTTGTCCCGATTTGGTTATTCATTAATAATTTTGTTTAATTGATTTTCGAAAGTAAACATATGACATGGTCAATTATGAACCGATCCAGGTTTTAGAGCAAAATTTTTGTAGATTATTAGGAAATAATGTTTAGTTATTCCATATACTTGTTTATTATTTAACTTCTTCAAGGGGACCCTCCTAATGTAAAAATGCTCTCATCTCTCAAAACACTCAGCTATTTTTAAAATACATTATACTGCAGTATATACTGTACCCAGCCTTGATACGAATACTGTAGTGTAGAGTCATTCATCGTTCGGGTGGCAGTAGTCAGACATTTGCTATTGTTTGTGCACAAAAGATTATTTTAAATAAGTGTTTAAGGAGAAACAAATCTTTTTGTAAATTATTTAATATTGTGATCCAAATTCCATTTTATTTAGTTGATACTTATAGTAATAAGCAAAAAAAAAAAGTTTGGAACATCTCAAAAGGGTTAAGAAAAAGTACCCGTAAAAATACTTGTCTATAGTCAAAGAAAAATTTCATCATTATGGCATCCACGAAATACAATTATGCCGAACAACTTTCTAGAAAAATTGCAAAGGGTGAACTTGTTTTAAGCGCTAATAATAGCCGCAGCAAATGTTGGAATGTTTTTGCCAAAATAGAGGATCTAAATGGTGAACCAGTTATAGGTTACGTCTATTGTCGCATGTGTAAAAAGATTTACAGTTTTCAACGAAGCTCAACGACAAATTTAGTAAGACATGGTTGCTACAAGAATGCCTACACCCCAAATGGCGTTTCAATCATACAAATTGAAACGCCAAAACTTGAAATATCACCACAGAGCTCATTTGACATTGAGGAAGTCGAAAATTCCAGCTATAATCTGAAAAAGTTATTAACAAAATGGTTAATACGTTACTGCCGAAGTTATGGCTTAATACAGGATGATGGTTTGAAAGCAGTATTTCAGGAGTTTATAGCTATTGGTGCCAAATTCGGTACTAACATAAATGTGGAGAGGTTTCTACCGAGCACAACAAATATAGCCAGCAATGTGACTGAACTCTATGAAGAATGTTTAAGTAGAGTAAAAGATGAAATAACTTTGGTTAAAGAGAATGGTTTTGGTTTAGCGATCGACAGTTGGACGGAGGTGTTTTCCAAGAAAACCTACATAGCATTAACTATGCATTTTCTAAAAAATGAATCTCTAACATTTCGTTTGTTGGGTTTAAGATCTATGGAAGGTGAGAAAACTACAAGTTTTTAGTTAAAACTAGCCTAGTGAGTAGTCTATTGACTAGCCTGTTGACTGGTCTACCAACTGTTCTGTGGACTAGTTTGCGATCCACTCTGGTGGATCGCGGTCTGTGGACTTGTCTAGGTATTAGGTCGTCTGTGGACTTGTTGATTGTCTAGTCTGTGGACTATCCTATTGACAAATCTATATTAACTTGTATATGGGCTAATCTGTTGACAGACTAATTCGTCTGTTGTCTGGACTATGAACTAGCCTCTTGAGTAGTCTATTCATTAGACAATTTCATAGGCTATTGACTTGTGTGTGGA